ACATATGTTCGCATGTTAAAATAAAATGCAATATTTAATGTGTCAGGCACAAAATAGACACGTCAAATTTTTTTTTAAATTACACGATAATCTGACGAGTTAACCTTTAATATTTAGTTAACTAGTGGCAGTTGACAGTTGGCAAAATTAACTGAAATGAGCATCCCCAGTGTTAGGGTGTTCTGCGTTTGTTTAAAGCTGATCAGTTAGTTATTGTCACATGACTCGCTGTGCACTCGTACCATTAAAAAGCTTAAATGATTTCACCTGGGTGCCCCCCAATATGTCAATATGCGTGCACAAGCTGCACATTAATATGCATGTGCAAGCCACACGCCTCAATAGGAAATAAATCACTTGTGCACAAAAAAGAAGTGACATGTGAACGGCCCCCAAACTTGTCGTAATTTGCGATCTACAGCAGTTGATCTTCTTGCACAGACATGCTGGATTCACCAGATTTGTTGACAAATAGGTTCCGGATCCATACCTTGGCAATTTGTGGGTCCTTCCCTGGGCCTTTCCCCTTAGCAAAAAAACTTTCCAAAGATGTCTGATTCTTACTTATTTTGCTGCTTGTGGCTTAAATTTGGGCACTCAAATTTAACAGAGAGAATACGGTCATTTTCCAAAATAAAAGATTGTTCAGACTCAGATTATATATAAAATGGATCATTTCTTGTGAGGCCAGGTATCAACTGATCCAGGGTTGGGGACCACTGCTGTAATCAAGGCTTGACATTAACTTTTTTGATCACCAGCCACTGTCACTAGTAGTGCTCCACCGTGACTAGCCACTCACCATTTTCACTAGCCACAATTTTGTTGTTGGGAAAATATATTTTATATGCATAAATTTGACTTTGGCATGGGTTGCGGCATGCTAAAATTACTAAAATATTGTGTTTTTTTCCACTCGCCTTCACGTTTATTTAACTGTTTTTTGTTTATGAGCTCACTCAATGAGCATGAGCAAATTCTTTCATAAAAAAGTGTCACATTGGAATTAGTTTTCTTTTACAGGACTTTTCAGGGCTCAACACAATAAGGATTTACCTTTTTTTTTCTCTGACTAGAGCTGCACAATTAATCGTTAAAAGATCGCGATCTCGATTCGACCCCCTAGACCACAGGTGTCAAACTCAGTTCCAAAAGGGCCGCAGCCATGCACAGTTTAGTTCCAACCCTAATTAAACACACCTGATCAAACTAATTGAGTCCTTCAGGCTTGTTTGAAACCTACAGGTAAGTGTGTTGGAGCAGGGTTGGAACTAAATTGTGCAGGGCTTCGGCCCTCCAGGAATTGAGTTTGACACCCCTGACCTAGACAATCTTAATCCAGCATTTTTACGATTCTGCCAATCATATTTTCAAGTTCAGGAGAGAAGAAAAGGCGGCTGCAAGAGTCTTTTCATTGTTTGACATACATTGCTCAGTGATATTGACACCTCCAAATGATGTTGAATAAGTCACATACTGTATTTATAAGGTATAATTCACCTAAAAATGTCATTTTTGTTTTAATATAATGATGTTTTCGCGATCTGGAAATCACACATGACGTGAGCTGCTGACCGTGAGCTGTTATCACAGATAGGGCGCGGCGATAAATGTTTACAATGTCAGTATAACTACTCTAGCCTATATATTGTTGAATATAAACTGCTAATGGCAATGTCTGATTTTACCAGTGAATTAAATTGTCTAATATGACAGATTGCAAGCATATATCTCAAACATAATTCAACATCAGAATTATAATAAGAATAGATTAATATAGAATAGAATTATTTATAGAAACCAGTAGACCTACACATATTATTATCGAGGTTGTGCCATATGTTTGTTTTTACCATACCTTTATTTTACATCTACAGAATCGTGAGAAAATCGTGATCTTTATTTTAAGCAAAAAAATTGCAATTCTCATTTTAGCCAGAATCGTGCAGCTCTATCTCTGACCACACCAAACTAATTATTTCCTTGCTACAAATTTTAAATAATGTGTCCAAACAAGCAAAATACCGCTGTATACATACACTTTTTATTTAACAAAACAGCTGACATTTAAAAAATATATATTCTCACGCATCTAAAACTATGCACAGTGGTCTGTTCTGGCTCCCAGATCACCAGTTAACTGTGCATACAACAGCATATTAAAGCAATATTATTGTAAAGGATGATTTATTAAGTTATATTAACAAAATTAACAGCAAGCAAAAGAAAGCGGGTAAAAAAAACATTCTGTGCGCGATAATGAAAGGATGATGCCGCGCACAAGGTTAATGTTAGGCCAATTAATAATCTGTTCAAAGAACGGTTAAAGCGAAAGCGACAACAACTTTTGCTGCTTACAAAGAATCTCGAGCCTTTGAAGGACTGTGAGTGCACGAGCATCGCACTAGTTTCATTTCGAGTGAGGAAAGGGCACAGGAGCTTTTAAACACTCGCGCGCATCAAATCATCTGTGCGTGTGACACTAAAGCCCTCATTAGTGAGTGAGGAAAGCCTGTCTCACCGTGTGCGTGATCTTCTCATTTGTTATTCACTTGCTTTCCTTTGCTCGCACGAAAAGCTGTTTTAGTCAGTCGTGCTGCTTCTGGATTCTAAGATCACATTTGTTCGCATATAGGCAAACGATCATAAACTAACAGTCTAATCTGTAGTGATGACGAGCCAGCACTGGCAATTAAAAAATGAGTTTTTCAGCCAGCCAAAGTGGCTAGTAAGAGTGGCTGTCTAACCCAAGTGGTGCTCACTGCAGAGCCACTTGGGCAGAGCTGTGCTCTAGGATAGATTTTAAGATTCTTTTATTAGTTTATAAAGCACAACACAACATGACACCTTCCTACATTTCCGACTGTTTAACAAAATATAATCCAAACCGTTTGCTCCGCTCTTCTAGTGCTGGACTTTTAGAATTTTATCCTGTAAACCCGATGCGATCTGGCGACACTTCTTTTAGCCATTATGCTCCAAAAATTTGGAACTGTCTCCCTCTTGAAGTGAAAGAATCCCCCAGTATTCATGTTTTTAAAAAGCGTGTTAAGACGCATCTTTTTAAAATTGCGTATGAATAAACAAGTTTGTAAGGGGTACGCATTTTATCTATATTGTTGTAGGTTTATGTATGTAATGAATGGTGTGTGCTTGCATATGTAAGGACTATTGTGTGTGTGATCATGTGGATATATGCTTATATTTTGTGTACATGAATGCTTCTATTTCAGTATATGTGATAAGTTTTTATGGTCTATTTTAATGCTTTTTTTGTTGTTGTTTGTGAGGCACTTTGAGTTGCATGTAGGTTGAGAAAATGCTAAACAAATAAAGTGTATTATTATTAGCAAGGGGGAGCTTGAGCTCTAGTTCCTCCTTCCTTGCACTTCTTCTACGAGTGTTGTCACTGGGGGTTGGGGTTAGGGGTGTGGTGGGTGTACGCATTAAAACAGCTTATAGGAGGAGGAGCTCAAGCTCAAGTGTCTCATCAAACCCGCCACAACCAAAATCTACCCGCATTTGGTGGATTGACATGTGTTAATGTAAAGCCCTGGCTGTAATGTACAGAAACTGGAAATCCTGATGTTGACATTATGCTACCAGATACACCAGCAGACACATAATAGCATCACTAAATCAATGTCTTGCCGGCAGCCATAGATTAAAGAACTAAAGTAGGTCCTAAAGGTTATTATAATGAGTCAAAGGTTATTACGGTCATAATGTAATGGCTCATCTGTGTTTATTTTTTCTCAATGGTCTCGGCCTCTTTGTAAGTTTACAAGAAATGGAAAAGGCTTCTTTTTTATAAAATGGAAAGCAGTACTATTAAAATCTAATATGTTTCTCACACATATGTTGTTACACACCATCAGGATTTTATGTTCACTGAGGACGTGGAATATGGCAGCATTTTATAAACAGCTTCATGAATTACTGACTTCTCTCTAATTGACTGCAGCCACACACACACACACACACACACACACACACAAACACACACAAACACAAACACACACACACACATACACACACACACACACCATATATTTGTTTAATTAAGAGCAGCTCATTGTTGCTAAAATATGACAGTCACTCTCTTTTTCTGCTCACTCAACTATTGTGTGTGTCTATGTGTGTGTGTGTGTGTGTGTGTGTGTGTGTGTTTGCTTAAGAAAGCGGGAAAGGCACTGCAGAGAAACCAAACGATGGCCTGACAGAAAAATCTAAATTGGTCTCTTGTCAGGCTCTGTGTGGTGAACAGTTTCCACGGAGGTTTGTGGAGCATTACAAATATTCATTTAAACATTCCCACAACACACACACACACACACATACAGACAAACACAAACACTGCTACAGATGGAGCACTTGATGCCGACAGCAAGACAGCAAGTATTTAGTTAAAGAATACCACAGACTGGAAAGTTTGGTTATGGTTTGAGTTTCCAGCGGTCCAATTACTTTCAAAAGTTTCAATCTGGAAAGTGACGGTGAGAGAACTTGTCATATAGAGAGAACTCCACAGAGCATCTGTAAGGGTTGAAAATGCCAATGTTTGAGTTGAAATGAACTGTTTTTTGGTGTGTGTCTCTTTAAATTCAAATGAGCTTTTACTCTCCACCCCCTTTTCACCAGTTTTGACATCTCTGCTTTAGACAAATAATTATCAAAATCAGCAATTTGACTGACAAATTAAATGTATTAGGCTATTTTAGAGTTGTTTCAACTGCTTTGCAACAATGGATGAAAAAAAATATATTGTGTAGACATGGTGTAAAACATTCAACATTCAACAAAAAATCTCACTACAACTGCTTCAGATTCAAGACTAATTTATAAAAGGATCATTTAAAAGGACTGGGTGTTTTTAAATTAATTTAAGGTTGTGGAGTGCACACACTGCCTATAAACAACTAACAGTGAATTTTACACAACTTTACAGTCCTGGCGCAACCTCCTCTTTGTATTGTAGGTGTGTGTTTTTGTGTTTGTACCATGAGGATGCGCCGGTAGCTGTCTCTGTCGATGCCCCAGAGTTTCAGGTCAGTCTTGGCCTTCACAGTAGCAGCTCGAGGAGTCCCGTATATCAGAGCCAGTTCTCCAAAACTACCACCCTCTCCAATACTAGTCACCCATTCACCATTCACATATACCTGCAGACACACAGAGAGAAAAAGAGCATTACACACATCTGCTTATAACACACGAGTAAGACAACAGCATACAGAATAGATTTAACTTCATTTTGTATACTGTATAGAAATAAATCAGACTGGAGTTTGCATGTTTTCTCCGTTTTGGCATGGGTTTCCTCTGGGTGCTCTGGCTTCCCCCACAGTCTAAAGACATGCGCTATAGGTGAATTGAATAGGCTAAATTGGCCGTGTTGTGTGTGTGGGTTTGAATGTGAGATTTTGGGTGTTTCCCAGTGCTGGGTTGTGGCTGGAAAGGCATTTACTGCGTAAAACACATGCTGGATAAGTTGGTGGTTTATTCTGCTGTGGCGACCCCTGATTAATAAAGGGATTAAGCCAAAAAGAAAATAACTAAATAATATAATATAATATAATATAATATAATATAATATAATATAATATAATATAATAAATATAATATAATATAATATAATATAATATAATATAATATAATATAATATAATATAATATAATATAATATAAAATAACAATAAAATATATAATATAATATAATATAATATAATATAATATAATATAATATAATATAATATAATATAATATAAAATAACAATAAAATATATAATATAATATAATATAATATAAAATAACAATAAAATATATAATATAATATAATATAACAATAAAATATATAATATAATATAATATAATATAATATAATATAATATAAAATAACAATAAAAAATATAATATAATATAATATAATATAATATAATATAAAATAACAATAAAATATATAATATAATATAATATAATATAATATAACAATAAAATATATAATATAATATAATATAATATAAGATAATATAATATAACAATAAAATATATAATATAAAATAATATAACTATATAATATAATATTAAACAATATGATATAGAATAATATAATATAATATAACAATAAAATATAATATAACAATATAATATACTATACTATAATATAATATAATATAATATAATATAATATAATTTTAGAAAAAAACTTTTAGCTACTGATAATTTATACAGCAAAGTAATAATAACTTTTTATTATCATATATTTGTAATAAATACACACAGATGACCTGTACACAAAAACGCACAATTCAACCAAGTAAATCAGGAACTGTTTCAGATTTCATGCTATCTCCAGTGATTGGCCTGAACTCTCTTTTTACACTAATGACAGTCAGGGGTGTTCATATTGCGACGGCACATCTGATAACACTCGACCAATCAGGATCCTCGACAGTGTCTTATGAGGAATTAGATAACACTTTCTCCTGCTTTGTCTTTCATTCTGGCATAAGTGCATGATGCTACTCAAGACCATATCTGGGTGTGTGTGTGTTTTATTATCAGCCACACGCATTGACGAGCACAAAGAGCCTCTTTCTCGCTTTCCACAGAGGCGGCTTCACTTTCACCTGCGGACACAAAATCCACTTGTTGATTTTATTAGGGGCAGGAATAAATGCTCGGCCAGTGGTCTAACACACATTCCTCAGGGTATCTGTGCTCTTCAGAGCGGCCACTGGAACATACTTTAAGTCCAAGCCTGCTGCATGTCACTTCAGGTGAGAAACTGTGCTTCTGATATACTAGCAGTCCTGTATCAGGCCTTCAGGTTGATATTTAGCAAACTTCAGTTAGTGCAAAATGCAGCTGCCACAGTTCTTACAAGGCCAATTTTACCCTCCTTACACTGGCTGCCTGTTAAGTGATGATAAAATATTGCTGCTTACCTTTAAAGCTTTGAATAGTCTAGCTCCTGTTTATCAACACTCTGTCTCGCTACAATCCCACTTGCTCTTTAAAATCTCAAAACTCAGGGTTTCTGGTAGTACCCAGAATAGCAAAGTACACTAAAGGAGGTCTAGCGTTTTCATATATGGCTCCTAAACACTGGAATAGCCTTCCTGGTAATGTCAGAGGTTTAGACACACTCTCTTAGTTCAAAACTAGATTAAGGGTGCTTTCACGCCTAGACATTAGTTTCAAAACCGGTCTCATTTGTAGGGCTGTGCAAAAATATTGATATATCTAACTATCGCAATAATTTCTTTCACGATAGTGTATTGATAGTCAAACCTGAAGTATCGATTTAAGTTGGGCCAAACAACCTCCTCCTCTGCTCCAGTAGATGTCGCTAACTCGCTATCAACAAAACGCTAAGTAAAATAGTTTCAGAAGTAAGCAAGCGAGTGAGCATGGTGGAAAATATAAAGGCGCCTCCAGCTTTGAGCTGCACTTTGGTTTTAACACTATATCAGAGTACTGAATTAGACAAAAAATGCCATTTGCTTGCTAAGCAAATCTATCTTAAAATATTCAGGAAACCCTACGAACTTGCGTTATCACTTAGCAAACACCACGCAGATTAATTAGCAGCACTGCGACCTCAACCGAAAGCTCTTGATTCAAGGCAAACTACACGGGATAACGTCATTAACAAGCCATTATCTACCTCAACTAACAATGCAGAGTTACTGAAAACTGGAGGAGGAATGGGAAATAAAATGGTAGGATCTGTCGTTGTAACAAACAACGCACCAAACATGACCTTAGCAGCACAGCTGCCCGGCATGTTGCATCTAAAATGTTTAGCGCATGCCATCAATTGCACCCATGTGCGACCAATTTTCACTGCAAAATGTTCACGATGCTGTCAGTCGCACTGTCAGTTTCTAATAGTTTACTTTATATTAGAGCATTGTGTTCCAGTTTTACGTTTACTTAATGCATTTTATTTATTTTTTTACTTGCTTTAGTTTTTAAATTGTTTATTTCAACTATATGGGACTTTAGTGGCATATACATTTTAGTTAAGTGTTTAATAACAATATGAATTTAATACATTTCAGTGAGTTCTCTGTTCATTCACACTGTGCAGTTTGTTTAATGCAGCAGCACGAGTGGTCTTTAATGAACCTAAAAGAGCACATGTCACTCCGCTGCTCATCCGTTTGCACTGGCTGCCAGTTGCTGCTCGCATCAAATTCAAAGCTCCGATGTTTGCTTACAAAGCGATTTCTGGCTGCGCCCCTTCTTATCTGCTCTCACTTCTGCCGATTTATGTGCCCTCCAGAAATTTGAGTTCTGTGAATGAACGTCGCCTCGTGGTTCCATCCCAAAGAGGCAAGAAATCTCTTTCCCGAACGCTCGCGCTCAATCTGCCCAGTTGGTGGAATGAACTCCCTAACTGCATCAGAACAGCAGAGTCACTTGCTGTCTTCAAAAAGCGACTAAAAACTCAACTATTCAGTCTCCAATTTTTCTTACTAATACGCAACTCCCTCTCTGACTCCTCCACTAACTGCAAAAAAAAATAAAAAATTACTAATGCTTTCCTTCTTAGACTTTACACACCTGAAACTTGCCTACAGCACTTATTCATTGTTGCTCTTATAGTTGTGTAAATTGCTTCCTTGTCCTCATTTGTAAGTCGCTTTGGATAAAAGAGTCGGCTAAATGACTAAATGTAATGTAAATGTAAATGTAATGAATTGAAATGGATAGAAAATAAATTGGAATTGGAATTTGAATTCACCTGCTGACTTTATCAAGTTGTCAATATAACATCACACACATACTAATACAAACTATTGCAATATATCACAATATTTATTGTATCGCTATATATTGTGATATATATATTGTATCGTGACCCATGTCAGGGCTCGAAATTAACCTTTTTGCTTGGTAGCACCAGTGCTCCTAACTTTAAAAATGTAGGCGCATCAGCCCAAATTTAGGCGCATCAGCCCAAATAGATTTTTATAACATAACTGAGTGACCAAAGCATACACGGAGCACTCACCGGCCCTGCACGCACTGCTTGAATTAACGTGTTAACGGTATAACTAGTAAGATGTGTCATTATTTGTAACTGTAGATGCCATGGTTTCTAAAACAAAATCTGTCAAGTGTTATGTTATCTTTATTCTCATCTTCAGCGCTTTACAATTTTTCGCGGTAGTAGCTCTCTCTGTCATCCCAAGCCAGAAGGCGCTGAGTGATTGACAGCTGATATTAACCAATCATTCGCGTTCAGTGCTAGAGCAGTGGTGGGCCAATAAGAAGAGCGCGAAGGCGGGGCAAGCATTACGGACTTGGATTTGTTTACTGCAGCAAGTTGACATGACAACTGTTTTAAACCATTCCCGAGCGCTGCGTTTCATGTTCCAAGTGCAGACAAAGAGCTTAGAGATGCATTCTGCGTAAATGTCTCCCGAATCCTGAATGTGCTGAACATTTTGCAGTAAAAATTGGTCGCACACTACAATTTTAAACACTCGCAGAAATGCTTCCAAATATATTTCAAGGTCGCATAGATAAAATTTCGGGCGCATATGCGACCAAAATGGTCGCAATTTCGAGCCCTGCATGTATCGTGATATGTATCATATCGTGAGGCTCTTGCCAATACACAGCCCTACTCATTTGCCCAGTTAGCGCGGTTTGTTTGGCATATGTGAATCCAGCAATTTCGCTCAGAACCGCATCGAATCAATCGGTCCGAGATTGTCTAAATGAGGTGGTCTCGGCTCGATTGAAACAAACTCTAGAGCGGATCAATTGTAGTGAGAAAGCAAAACAATCCAACGAACTAACTAACCAGGCTTTATCACAGTGTATAATGGTTACATAATAGCCCTATATATACAGCTATATGAAAAGAGAAAGATGAGTAGGGCAGGATATCATTCCTACTGGTAAATGTGCGTTTCATGTCCAATACAACAGTGAAAGCATGCTAAAATAATACAGAGTGCTGTTTATCTGTTAGGAAAATTGATTGAAAATATCATCTGATAACTTTTCCATATTTTTATATTATAATATTTTGTATGAGGCATATTGTTTTGTTCATTTGTGCACTGACACCTCGAAAGAAAGATCTACATCTGCTTTATGGTCTGACTGCAGTCTCGGTTAATCTATTTTTTTCTTTTTATAAA